CTTAACATGGTATCAGAGCCAATTCCGGTTGTGGTTTGACGGCTTGTTTAGCACCCATGATTAAGGGTAGCTTGTTAAGGGTTTGTTTGGCCCGTTTATACACCCCGATATTGTCCAGCCCGGTTCGGGCTGAGGGGGCGTGTTGAAGCATTTGTCCCACACCGGAAAGCTATAAAACAACTAAACACTATATAAAGGCTTTGGGCTACTCCTCCTATCAGGTTGACCTTTTAGGATGAAACCCCGGGTCTTAACAAAGTATAGGGCTGATGTGGTGAGGAGTTATATGGGTGATTTGTAGGGAATGATGGTAAATAAGAAGCTAGGAATGTTGGAGAATACTGATTAAGATGTGGATTGGGATTTGGAGCAGGAGGATACTGATTTGATGAAGAAGCAGTATAGGAAGGATTGAATCTATGGTAGCATATTAAAGCATGATGTCAAGATTTGCCACATACTTGACATATAACCGAACTGCGACCACCATACCTACCTCCTCGGCCTCTCCCAGCACCACCCCTACCTCTACCTCTGTAGGAGTCAGTATTGGAGGGAAAATTGTATTGTGCAACTTGGACAGAAGAATTATCTAAAGAATTTTCATGTGCTGGGTTGTTATTTGAAGATGATGATTCCACACGCGCTACATTTGCAGAGAATAGATTTTGTTGAGAAGATTCACGAAGTTTCTTCAGTCTGATTTCCTTAGCAGCCAAAAGAGACTCAAGTTCAGACAATGTTGGAGGATCTAGGTTGCTTCGTGAAGAGATTGAGGATGCCAGAGACTCATACTCTTCAGGCAGACCTTCAAGGATGACATTAATATGTTCCTTGGCAGAAATAGGTTCTCCAACAGATAACAGATTGTCAGCAATGGTTTGAATGCGAATGAGGTATTCTGAAATAGAGCAATCACCTTTTGCTGTATTGTATAACTCAGATTTGAGTTGTCTGGTTTTGGCTAGAATTTGTGACTTGAAGTAGCTATTGATCTCGCTCCAGAGCTGATGCGAGTATCTGCAGTGAATTACTCGAGCATGAAAGGGCTCAGAGAGAGAGACGATCAACCAGGAGAACAACATCTGGTCCTGTTGCTCCCAGACGATGTATTCTTCACTTGCGTTTCCATTGGCTTCATCATCGATAGAGTTAAACTGCTTCGGAATTTGTGGTTTGACAAGAAATCGAAGTAGTTTATGTGCTCGAACAACTGATTCCACATGATGCTTCCAGAAGAGAAAATTATTTTCGTCGAGTTTGATCGGAAGAGGATGTGTAAAAGTTACCGGAGAACTGGAGTGACCAGAATTTCCGGCAGAGGAAGCCGAGTGAGAAGTATCATCGGAGACCGCCATTGATCGAGCTAATGCTCTGATACCATATTAGAAACCAGATATAAAAGAGAGAGAAAGATAGAAGGAGAGTCAATTTTCATTAATAAACTGAAGCAACAGTACAGAGTATATATAGAGAGTCGGTTAGGGCATAACAAGCTAACTAACCCTAAACCGAGACTCTAACAAACACAATGCATTACAAATTATTATAGAAGTCTATTCTAGAGTATTCTCTAACAGGATTTCTTCTTAGAATACCTAGTTTTTTGTTGTAAGCTTCCTTAACTATTGTTAGATATACATTCTAGAATAGACTTGAATACTTAATTGTAATAAAATGAGTTTGTTAGAGTCGGTTAAGAGTCTGTTAGTAGCCTGACCTAACTGATTCTATATATACCTTGTAATACTGCTTCAGATTGATCAAGTAATAATAATAAGCTTCTTCTCTCTATTTCTCTCTGTACGTTTTTTATTATGGTATCAGAGCTGTAGCTCGAATCCATGGCAATCTCAGATTATTCTTCCAACTCTACTGCCAATTTTGGCAATTCGAATTCTCCTGTAACCTTCCCACATCCACTCCAGATCAAACTCGATGCTAATAATTTTCTCTTCTGGAATCTGTTGTTCGAGCACATAAACTCCTTCGATTCATCGTAAAACCTCAAATTCCGAAGGAATTCAACTCTGCTGACGACGAGCAAGTGGAAATGTCAATGTGGAGTATATTGTTTGGGAGCAACAGATGTTGTTCTCTTGGTTGCTTGCGTCGCTTTCAGAATCATTTCATGCTCGAGTGATTCATTGTAGATACTCGCATCAGTTGTGGAGTGAGATCAACAGTTATTTCAAGTCACAGACTGGGCATCTGATCCTATTGACACGAAATGCTCATGCATTTTTCTGGGTTCTAACATTGTTTCATGGTGGTCAAGATAGCAAGTCAGAGTAGCACTAGCTGATACCACTGCAGAATTACTATGGATACAGTTTCTTCTAAAAGAACTTCAAGTCCCTTTCTCTGTTCCTAAAGTCTATTGTGACAGTCTGAGTACTGTACAGCTTGCTCACAATCCTGTCTTACACTATAGGATCAAGCATATGGAACTTGATCTCTTTTTTGTCAGAGAAAAGGTTCATCTAAAGCAGCTTCAAGTCTATCACATTCCTTCTCCCTACCAAGTTGCTGACATCCTAACAAAACCACTCTCCAGCTCCAACTTTCTTGATCTAAGGACAAAAGTCACTGTAGCTGATCAATCACCTTCATTTTCAGGGGGAATGTTAGATATACATTCTAGAATAGACTTGAATACTTAATTGTAATAAACTGAGTTTGTTAGAGTCAGTCAAGAATCTGTTAGTAGCCTGACATAACTGATTCTATATATACCTAGTAATACTGCTTCAGATTGATCAAGTAATAATAATAAGCTTCTTCTCTCTATTTCTCTCTGTACGATTTCTATTAACTATTTGTATTACATTTCTAAGTGTTTCTTGAATCAAATCCTTGTTCAATCTTGCATTTAATACCTTAGATGACATTATCTCCATATTTTTGTTGTATTATGCATCAACTTCATTTCAAGGCTATGTGTTGCATATCTTCATTTCAAGCCTCGGCACCTCTAAGACTTGGACATCTTAAGTGGTTAGTCTCATATTACAGCCTGTTTGGTAACCCCTATTTTCGGTTTGTCATCCAACTTTTTTATAACTTTTGATTTCGTGCATTGAATTATGTAACAGTTCTGCAGGAATTTCACCAATTTCAGCCGATTAAGCCAATTCAGTGTTACTGAACGGACTCGTAGTCGACTGAGACTTAAGCCAAAGGAGTGTTTTATTCAAGCATTAACGCCTTAGAGGCATTAGCCTCTCCCATGTTTTAAAACCATGGAAATATATCACAATAACTCGTGAAGACAACTACTAAGTAAGTATAGTGAGTCGATATGGCATTCTTGCTCAGTAAAAAAGAGCGTGAGGAAATGGCATTATTTACCAAAATCACAATCATATGAACGTAGAATGTTTTGTCTGTGTCATCATGTCCATCGAGAAGGCTCTAAGGATTATTGAAGATTTACATCAGGTTATTATGAAGAAACGTGAAAAGGAATTGCAAGAGAAAAAATGACAAAAAAATAGCTCATGAGACAATATAACAACAACAAAGCCTTAGTCCCAAATTCATGAGAAAATGGTATAGCATAAATCATTGCTTTAGGTGATAGGAGTTTACAATAACAATGAAAAAGAGAAGAGTAAACCTAAAGAAACTGAGGTGTCCTAGAACAAAGAATGCAAGGATGATGAAGGATGGAAAGCTTATAGGAGGGTAGACAATGAAAGATGAAAAGCTAAATGGAGCACAGAACAGAGGTGCATAAAGAGAAAGATGAATAATGGCAGAGAGCTGAGTCACAAACGAAGAACAAACCAAACTTATGTGTTACAGGATTAGTGGGAGGGCAGTTTGATTTTCTGTTTTTGGTTTAATTAAATTACAAATACTGATAAGTTAAAGTGTGCTAGTTTGCTAGGGTTTCTGGAATAAACCAGATGGGTCGACCAGTAGGGCTGGGACGTTTGATCGAGTTACCGAGCTACAAAAAATGGGTCAGTCACAAACAACTCAACATGAAACCACACCACCGCAGCGCTACACTGCCATGGCGGGCGCCATGAAGGTTCCGCCTCACCACTGCTATAACATGGAGGCTTGCTCAAATTCCGTCACTACCATCCGCCATGGCCACTATTTGACAACACTGATCAACGATATCACCGACCGAGAATCTAATACAACTTAAAGTACGAGCTTTGAAACTAAAAGCTAGAATAGAAGTTGGAAGACTAGCCATTAGCATTCTTGAGCTTTCTCTCTCTGGAAGTGACAAATTTGAGATTCTTTTCTCCCATGTTGTCAATCTCGGATAGCGGAGCATAGCGGTCAACCTCGAAAACGTAATAGTGGTATGGCAAATAGCGGGATGACTGCTATAGTGCTATTTAATTTACTTATGCAGACAATATATATGCAAAATACATATGTCATATGATATGTATGCATATAATTACATGTCATGCACATATCAAATCCAAGAAATGAAAAATCACAAATGTATTACTCAAAATCTCAAATATCATGAAATATGTACTTACTAGGGTATCAATAAAAAGGCACTAGTGTCTTGAACAAAAGAAACGAATAATTTAAGTAACTTACATGTAAACATTGAAAATTAAAAAATCAGCTCCTCGTAATTTTTTGATAAATTAACAGTCATCAATATCTCATTATAGGACAATCAAGGTTGTTGGGATGCCTTGGACTACCCTAATACAATTAATTGGTTGGTTGCATCTCTTTTGGGGTGAAACCTCCCATTTGGGGTTTTCGCCCCACCCCAATGCGGACAGCCTAAAGGGATATTTACAGAGCAGAATGTCACTTCTGTCTGGGTCGTGTCAGGTTAGACGTGTGTTAATGCCTGGCATTAACTACAGAGAACTTGTCCCACATCTAGGCTGGTGGAATGGACAGATAGGACACCCATCTAAGCAGGGCTGGTCCTGCTGGACCATGTTTCTTTATGAAAATGTTAAAGATTGGGATCTTAGATCATCATAAATTAGAGCAAAACTCACCAGTATATGTTCCATTTGTTTCATAGTCTTGGATGAAGTGCATGATGACAGGTGTCGGTATAACATAACCAATATTTTCTGCATCTTCATGTTTAAGGGATTGAAATGCAATACCTACGCAATTTCCCTGGTCATTAAACGCAGGGCCACCAGAATTTCCAGAATTTATAGCAGCATCTATCTGTGAGAGTGAAACCGAGCAAGTCAGAGCTATGATTCATACGGTAGCCAATGAAGTATATTGAAAAATCGAATACCTGCAATCCCAGAAGTTCGGTTGATCCGTGAACATATGACAATACCTCTATGCGTGAAACAACCCCACTTGTAACCGAAATGGTGTCTCCCCCAATTGGATAGCCTACTACAGTCACGGCATCTTGAAGCGCGGGGAAAATGCCAAATTCCACTGGAGATGCCCCTTCCCAGAACTCATCATCCTCAACTGTAAGCAATGCTGCAGGATCACATTTACAAAGATTAGTGACCGTGAAAAATGAAAGTCCCCAAAACAATATACGAAGTACATAAAGATTGGGGTCTGCACGGCGAACAATAGGGCTGAACGAGACAGAAATTATGATGCACATTAAATTATTACTCCGTATGGTGTATGTGGCCACTGGCCTGCAACAAGGTCAACCGTCAACACCGGCAAACACAAATTAAAATCCATATAAAAATTAATGATTGAACATCTTACCAACATCGCACTCCGTTCCAATGGCAAGCACCTTGGCAAGATACTTGGTATCTGATCCTCTCTTTTTCAATTTAACCTGAGTGTAATGCTCTACGGAGTGAGCGTTAGTCAAAACCCTCCTACCGTTGATGATAAACCCACTACTACTCGAACTAAACTGCCGCTTCCGCTGCCATGGCAGAGAGAAGTTAGGTTCAGTATGGGTACAAAACACCTTCACTACGGCGTCCATTGCAGGTAGAACCCTAGCGACCGCCGAATTCGAGGCAGCATTATCACTTGGAATCAGAGAAGCCGGCCCATTGACTTTTAGGGTTCCTAGGCTTTCGTGGTTGGATTGCGTCTCCGGGTGCATGGGGACTTTACGTGGGCGACCGCGGCGGCGGCGGTGGGAATCGGAGGACAAGTTAGATGGACTGGTGATTAGCTCTACGTTGCTGACGGAAAAAACGATATCGTCGCTGGTTGGCGACGCTGATGCGGTGGATGTAAAGAAGCTAGGAGTTGCCGAGTCTTCAGGGCATTCGGATTTCGGCTTCCTGCCTCGTTTTCGCTTGTTATCACCTGCCATTAACGACGACGGTTGTAAAAGGGTGCAAATTTAGGCAGATTCTCCACTGTTATATGAGTGGAAAGTCGAAGGTGCGAATGGTGGAGGAAAATTATGACGGCACTGACCGTCAGTCACTCAGTCTCACTCAGACTAGGTAATCTTCATTTTTAAAATTGCTAAAGTTTTTAGCAAATCTCGAATTAGACATTAACACTCTAAGTAGATCAAATAAATACAAAATTATAGTTGTTGGGTCCATTTATATCACCCTTTAACGCCTCGGTTACTCTTCCCCGTCCTTTACTCTCCATCGTTCCAAAAGCCCTTGCCCCATCCCAATCAAAGACCCTGCCCCTCCCCAGCCCCCAAGTCCAACCCCTGTCCTGCCCTTGCCTGCTCCCGAGCTCCAAGTCCGAGCAGCCAACCCCCGATCCGCACTCCCTAGCTCGAACTCCGACCAGCCATCCCCAGTCTCCCAAACTAGTGTCACGCCCTAGACCGCATTCGTGCCACGTAAACAACCGTCGTACGACCCAATAAGAACAACGTAGTTCATTCTCATCAAATCATACAAGGCGTCCGATAGATTCCGTTGTCAAACCGATTAGTAAATCCATACAATCAACATCAATATATTAATCAAACAAATGCGGAAATAAATTATGTTTGATAATGAGCCATACGTGGCAACCATGGGCACGCAGGCCCTTCAATAGTTTAATAGAAAATATTGTTTAAAATATCCATGAGCACAATTATAAGTTAAACCGAGATGGGAAGCACGAACCACGTCTTCCTTATGTAATAGTCACCCTTTGCAAAGGTGCAGGTAGCAGGACTCTAGCCTTAACCTAAAAAATAGTGAGGGCCCCCGGAGGGGTCAGTACTTCACAGAAAGAAGTACTAGTGACAAGCAGACTATATGAAGAATAACTAATGTTTCAGACACGAGACCCAAAAATAGGGTGATACATATATGTAGTTGTCACTCATCCGCCCGATGATACATACTATGTGTGTGTGTGTGTGTGTGTAAAATACTCAACCCTTAGGTCATTTTCATCAAAAGAGTCTTTTAGTGATAAAGTTCTTACCTGACTTTTCTCACTCCTTTCCCGAATGCCTAGCTTACAAGCTACATTCTACATTGATAATATCCTACCGAGTTTTGGGAGCATTTAGCGTCCCGAGGATACTCAACCCCATCCGGGTTTCAGGATCGTTTATCGTCCCGGGGATACTCAACCCCAACCGAGTTTCAGGATCATTTACCGTCCTGGGGATACTCAACCCCAACCGAGTTTCAGGATTGTTTACCGTCCCGGGGATACTCAACCCCAACCGAGTTTCAGGATTGTTTACCGTCCCGGGGATACTCAACCCCAACCGAGTTTCAGGATCATTTACCGTCCCGGGGATACTCAACCCCAACCTAGTTCGTTACCAAACCCTAACCTGGATATGGCTAACCTTTCATTCACTTAACTATGGACAATACCTAGTCCTATAGTCATATAATAATCTTTGATAAACAACGTGGGCGGGTCCCACCCGAATGGCCCTCGTTGTATTCGTTCAAAACTGACTATTGGGTGCAAAACCCAATACTCGGTCGAGTACCTACCTGTACTCGGTCGAGTATAGGAGGCAGTAGCCTCCCAGGGCCATTTTCAGTTAATACCCGGTCGAGTATTTGCCAATACCCGGTCGGGTATAACAGTTGACTCGGTGGTCAACGCCCGTTTGACTGCCCAAACGGAGTCCGATTGACGTGAAATTTTACATGCATGTACTCCTTGAAGTCTTTAATCCAAAAATACCTATTTGGGTCCTTGGAACATCATACATATCAATTTATAATAATTTCACTAATCAAATCTACAAATCATACTTTTCAACTATGTTACATTCTTTAACATGACATAGCACATACTTTAACATCATTAATCAATTTATAAAACATATCCTTGATTAATTTAGGTAATCTCATGCCTCACGCAAAAGTTATAAAGCATATAGCCGTCTTCTCACCTTAAAAGAAGCTTATGAAGTTCTAGCCTTTCTTATTGAACTCCGGTGAAACTCCGGCAAACTTCAACTAACTCCGGCGACAACTCCGGCGACCCTTTCAACCCCGTGAAAGTTCTTGAAATACCTTATACAAGTTAATAACAAGGTTTTATCATCACAAAACCCATATCAATACAAATAACCTCTAAAAGGTTATTTTCCGACGAACCGGACAACTTTGTTCTCTAAATCCGTTTTGGATATGAACCAACCTTCCAACCCCTCATTCTTCACATATAACATGTATAGTGACCTTAGGGGTCTGGAACATGATTATATAATCATATGGGAGGATTAAGGAAAAAGGAATGGGACAAATGAAGTCATTACCTTGTTAATCCTCAAGTTTTCCTCCTCTTTCCTCTTCTCCTTCCCCTTCTTCTTCTTCCTTGAGTTTGGTTCGAATGGCAATGGTGGATGTGAGTATTTTCAGAGCACCTCTCTCAAAGATGAGTGATAGGGTCGGATGTATTGGCTAAGGGGAGAGTATATGGCTATCCTTTGGCTTTTACCTCCAAAATAATGTGACTATGGCCCTTCCCATCCTCCTTCAATCACTCCAGCCGCCCACCTTCCCAATTTGTCTCCAATTATTTCGTGGGGTGGCCCCCACATATGTGGGAGGCCATCCCTTTGTGTCCCCAAGTGTACACTTGGTCCCGAAAGTTGTATTTTCCGGACTGTTTTAACTATATTTCGTTTTATCGGGTAAAATGAAATATATCTCATTCTTCCAATTATTATTGGCTATAAGAATGAATGTATATTCCCCAACTTTTAATTTGGTGGTCTCCATAATTTATTATGGCGTTTTATCTGATATTACTTCGGTACCGATAAATGGGCTTTATATGCACAACTGGACACTCACATAATTTCTATAGCCCAACATAGATATCCGCCATCATATAAATATTATCTAGACTCAGATGAATATAATATGTGGTCCTGAGAATGTCGGGTGGCCCCCACTTCTGGTGTGGGCCCCACGTGAATTTTACTATTCACGTAAAAGAAATGATAAAAATTTACAATTACGTAAAAATGCGTTTATTCATTTCACTATGTTCAATACATAATTTGATAAAGTACAAATACTCGGGGCGGTGTTACACCAGCCCCAGTCACAGCCCCCTCGCAACCCCCCTCTCAGCCTCTTAGCCCTCGTCACCAGCCAAACGCCATCCCTCACCTATTGTCGCTGCCTACAACCGCATTGTCGTCCCTCCTTAGCTGTCGGCGAGATGGTACAGATCGAGCGGAACACGGCCAAATCTAGATCTTTGCAAGCGACGTAGAGATGAAACGACGGCAAGGCAGAGCGGCAGCTTAGACGGCAAGGCGTAGCGGCGGCTTCGACGGCTAGGCAGAGCGTCTTCGAGGCAGGACGATCGACCTCCATTGTTGGTTTCTCTCCTTGCCATTGTTGTCTGCTCCAAGGTAGCTTTAATCGGATGAGGGAGTTAAGGGGGGAGGAGTTAAAGGGTGGTATCAATGGACCTAAAAACTATAATTTTGAGTTTATTTGGTCTACTTAAAACGTTAGTGTCTAATCCAAGATTCGCTAAAAACCTTAGTGTCATTTTTTATCTTTATCCCACAAAATATCATTTGATGTAGCATTTTGACACAGACTCATTAATCCTTACTAAATCAGTGCCAGAGATTTTCTTCACGAAGTGCTTAGCAAATATTTTTTGGTGCTTTCATTGAGAGTTTTTGGACAAAATCAAATGAGAATCCTCTCAAAAACATTCAAAAATTCATTCCAATTAGGGGTAATTTGAGTTTACATCCCATTTTATTGTCCAAATTGGACTTTGCACCCCGTTTTTAAAAGTCTTTGTTTTTGCACCCCAACCCCATATGAAAAGACAAAAATGCCCCTCGATCAAGAATGTGTTGAAGGCCAACAGAATTGTTAGTGGAGGGGCATTTTTGTCTTTTCATATGGGGTTGGGGTGCAAAAACAAAGATTTTTAAAAACGGGGTGCAAAGTCCAATTTGGACAATAAAATGGGGTGCAAACTCAAATTACCCCTTCCAATTATAAAGAAGTCAGTCAAAATCATTCTGAAGATCATGGGAAAATCAAACAAGAAAACGTTGGATCCGAGCCAAAACCGTAGCCGTTGGCGTGCGCTATTGGCTAAAGTCACCGCCGTTGCTCCAAACCTCCCTGTCGTTGATCTAGGTCTTTCCACCATAGTTGCAAATATCGTAGTTATTGTTGCTCCGATCGTGTTGGGTGATGTGGGCAGAGGCTGACCTCCCCTAGCTCGCTCCAGGTTTCGTGTAGCACTTTGTATTTTGGTTTTAAAGGAAACACATTTTCAAAAAATTATGTGTTTTGTATTTCAACAATCGTATCAGAGTCAAGCACATCACTTTTCAAAACAAGAAATCTATTACTTGCACTAGATTCAGTATAACCAATAAACATGCAATCAAAAGTCTTGGAACCAAATTTCATTTTCTTAGGATCAGACAATAAGACTTTAATTAAGCACCCTCACATTAGACTCCTTTATGTTATTACATTAGATTTGGGTTAATGTGGCGAAATTGCCTCATGAATAATACCTTCTTTTTCACAAAAATCATTACTTAAAATATAATTGCCTCCTCTATTCGATCTAACTCTAATAATCTTCTTATTTAGTTGGTTTTCTACCTCAGATGTATACACTAAAAATCTTTTAAGCCACATTTTTTCTAAGCAAATAAATTGTAGTGTATTTAGAAAAAATACGTAGTATGTTTGTACCACCTCTAGTCATGGTACTTTTTAAGAAAAAAATTCACTAATATTACTCTTGGAAAGGTGGTGGACACATGTGTGACTTATTAGTGATCATAGTTGTGTTCAAAGTATGCATCATAGTAATTACATGTAAGTCAATGTAAACTTTGAACACAATAAAGTCACTAATAGTTAGTAAGCCACATTTTTGTGCATAACTTTTTTATTAGTGATTTAAGGGAAAACGTCATTTTTTAAATCACCTAAATCCGTATGAATATATTTGTGAAAACCAACTTAACTTAGATTAATAAAATCATGGTTTATAGAAGCTGAAATACAATCAAGAGGAAAAGAAAACCAAATATG